GTCCGCACTGTGTCCGTCGTTTTGTTTAGGATGCTCAATGTCGCGAGCCGGCGGCCAAGTTGTAGCAACAACTGGGTCGTCAGCATTATTTTCCGAAGGCCTGTTCGAACCGAAGTGCTTAACCTCACGCCTGTTGGTAAGGTAGGGGCTGCTTCGGAAGGCGGGGCGCGGACAAGGTTGCGCAACTCCAAGGAGCCCCATGAAGAGCCCCATCAACTTTGGCGTCCCTCCCGAGCCGTTCACGCAACCGCGACAGGGGCATCATCGGCCATGACGAACAGATCTATGAGCGTGTGCACGCGTAGCATCACAGTATACTTCCCTGACGCGCATGTCTTTCCACGCCGCGCCTGCGATGTCGCTGCCAGCGTTGCGCTGGCACGGGTGATTGCTGTCATCCACCATCCAGAAGCCTCCGGTCCGGGCGACATGTTTCGGTCCCGCACACTGGTTGCCGCCCACGCCGTCACGTACTGTAGACACATCTTCGCCTCGGATTATCGCATTCAGACATGCAGACACGCTTCTGCCCACCATGCTGCGACAGTTTGGCAAGGCGAAGTTCCATCTTCAGTGATTGCTTCGCACAGGGTCCAGCAGGGAACCTGGCACCTGAATCGTCTGAATCGTTGTTTAGCGGTAGATGCTGGGAAGAGATGCGACGAATGAACAGGTCAGAGCCAACGCATCTCTGACATCGGCACGAAGTTGTACCGAGGTTTATGAGCGTAGCGGTCAAACATACGGAAAATCACAAGTCCAAACGCACGATTGCTTTCAAGGTGTCCTTGAAGCCATCGCGGGAGGCTCATATGCTCCAGCGACCGACAGTGCTCATTCATCATGTGCGTTCATGTCCCGGGCGTGAAAAAAGAAACTCTTGCTCTGTCGCATTTTGGTTCGGCCATCTCCACAATCCCATTCTGCGCGAACAGTCCTCTCGCCGTTCAGCGACACGTGAAGCACCGAGCTCGGAATCATTCACAGGCCGGGGCAGTGCTACGGCCACAATCGGACTTGGCAATCAGCTGCGCTCCGGACTCGCAAAACAACACCTCGCCGGGGAAACACCTCGAGTTAGCTGCTGCCTCGGGTAGCGAGCTCGGTACAAACCAGAGAGCAGGCGCAAAAGTCTGGAGACAAAACTCGTTTTGGACTGTCCCTTGCATTGTATCCTATACAGAACAGTCCTATAGGTCATCACATCATCAGGCTATGGATCCGACACTCTGTAAAGCAGAAAGCACGGTGACCAGGTTCGCCACACGTGTCTCCAAAAGCATTGACGATGTTTGCGCATATTGGTGTATGTTTGTGTGCTCCTAGAAATACACGAACGTGGGGACGAAAGCAGCCGTTTTCGGGCGTGCTCATGTTTTGGAAAGATATGCGCGTGTGCACGCGTAGCATCACAGTATACCTTCCCTGACGCACATGTGTTTCCACGATGCGCCATGATGCGCCTGCGATGTCGCAGCCAGCGTTGCGCTCGCATGGGTGAGTGCTGTCATCCGCCATCCAGAAGCCTCCGGTCCGAAGCCCACGCCGCCGCGTTTGACATGTTTGACGAAGTGACCGACCGTCCCAATGCGTCTTGAGTTCTCGCGCGGGCAGTGGAGCACTCGTGCTGGCACTGATGCGCTGTCCAGTCAGCATGCTAAGTGGCGTGCCGGCCTTGAGCAGGACGCTCAGACCACCGTCGTCACAGCACAATCCGCAATCTTGCTGGCGGATTACAGGCAGTTAGACATGCTGTTCGGGGATGAAGTACAAGCCCCGAGCATGATGCATATCGTACCAACAGACTTGCTTCAATCCGGCACTGGATAGCACGCAACCCATCTGCAGATTGTCCTTTGGAATTTTGAAATCAAACAGTAATTGCCTTCGCAGACACGCCTCTACCCACCATGCTACACCCAGTTCGGCATACCGAAGTTCCATTTGCAGCGATTGCTTCGCATACGTTCCGCAGTGAACTCGGCATTAGTAAGATGCGGCGAATGAACAGATCTGAGCCAACGCATTTCTGACACCGGCACGAACGTGTGCCGAGGTTTATGAGCGTAGCTGTCAAACATACGGAAAATCACAAGGTTCCAGGCGCACGACTACTTTCAAGGTGTCCTTGAACCCATCGCGGGAAGCTGATATGCTCCAGCGACCGACAGTGCTCATTCATCATGTGCATTCATGTTCCGGGCGCGAAAATTCTGGTTCGGCCATTTCCAAATTCCCAGTCTCAGTGCGACCAGGCATCTCGCCACATCGGACAATTGGCAGTCTGCTGCCCCACGGGCGCGCAAAACAACATTCCGCCGAAGAGATGTTTAACCTTATTCACAACACATGCCAGGCATTGACGATGTTTGCGCACATTGGTGTATGTTTGTGTGCACCTAGTAATACACGAACGTGGGGACGAACGCAACAGTTTTCGGGCGTGCTCATGTTTTGGAAAGATATGCGCGTGTGCACGCGTAGCATCACAGTATACCTTCCCTGACGCACATGTGTTTCCACGATGCGCCTGCGATGTCGCTGCCAGCGTTGCGCTCGCACGGGTGAGTGCTGTCATCCGCCATCCAGAAGCTTTCCGAAGTCCGAGACTGGTTGCCACCCACGGGCCGCCTTCGGGCTTTCAGGCCTGACTCCTGACGCAGAGAATGATAATGACAATGATCATGATATTGATCATGATAATTAGTAGGTCACGGTCAAACCTGAATGCCCCAAGCTGCCCCTTATAAGGGCTCAATCCGCAATCTTGCTGGCTGATTACAGGCAGTTAGACATGCTGTTCGGGTATCCAGCACAAGCCCCGAGCATGAAGCATTGGTGCTGTTTCAATCCGGCCTATCTGCGGATTGTCCCTTGGAATCTTGAAATCAGCCACTAATCGCCACCATGCGACACGCAGTTCGGCATGCCGCAGTTCCTTTTTCAACGATTGCCTCGCATTCCAATGTCGGCAATCGTACCTGAATCGCTGTTTGGCGGCAGATGCTAGATCTGAGCCAACGCATTTCTGACACCGGCAAAAACTTGTGCCGAGGTATTTGAGCGGAAAATTACAAGCTTTCAAAAAAAACCTTCCAGATGCACGGCTTCTCTGAGGCTACCACTCGCGGAAGGCTGTATTGGTCCTTTATGTGCCGGGCTATAAAAGAAAGATTAGTTTGTTTTTGTCATATTCGTGGATGCGCTCGGGCCTCGAAGCAGCACGCTTCGTGCGCTTGCTCGCTCGATGTCGGGCTCGGGCGGTCCCGGCAGCATTCCGGGCCCACCAGCGCCTTTGTTGCCCGCTGGTCCTCGCTGCTCGCCGTTTCCGCAGCGCGGGCTTTTGCGGCCACCCTCCTCGCGCTGCCCGTCGCCCCCACCAACAACGTCGACGGAGGTCCCGCCTCTCGCGAGCCGCATGCCGGCGTGAACCGGGGAGGCTGACCCCTTAACCAACAGCCCTGCACCGGGACCTGCGCGGATCTTGTGGAAAGAAAGGTGCGCGCAAAAAACTGATGCATTTGCTGCAGCCGGCGCAGGGAGTGTGGCATCATTTTCTGCGTTCCGATCACATTCCGAGCTTCAAGGTGAACAACGATTTCGCCACTCTCGGAGGCGATGCTGGTTCGGTGCTTGGTCGCCCTCAAGCACCATCCGCTGTAGACGTGGGGCACACACGGGTTCATGACTTGATAATTGTGTCGCACGATCCAACGCGCGAACATCCATCCACACGCATTCCGATCGCCTGACCCATAAAAAACCTTCGATGGTCAACATCATCATGCGACAACGGGCGTCCCAAACAAGTGTTGAAATCTCCACAAAAAAAACTCCCAAAAAACAATCTCCACCAAAATGCGGGGTGGGCCCCCAACCTGCGATCAGTACGGAAAAAAAGGATGTGGGATGAGAAACTGGTTAGCATTTGCAGATGGCAGGAACAAAGGCCATTGGACCTTATAGAAGATATGCGATCTTCCAAGACGATCGCCTCCTCGCGCGTGCACGCGCCTCCGCCACGCCGCTGCGCTCCGTCCCGCCACACGGGCCGTTTCGAGCAAATGTGGTGCACCCAAGGCCCGCCCCCAGGCACACACATGCCCCGGGCCCACATGCCGCTGGCAATTTGTGCCGCACTTGTCCACTCCTTCCGCGTGTTGCAGGACATTGCATGACGGGCGCCTTGTTGCTTGTCCCTGAAAGCTCGAGCCTGCGGCTGCAAGGGTTTGCGGGGAAGCTGGCACGACCCTCAACACCTTCGCGCGAAGCAGCGGGAAGGCAACACCCGTCCGCTTGCTTGCTCGCTGCTCCGCCATCCCTCCCCCCATGGCTTGCGTGCCTTGCCGTTGCGCTGCACTGGGACCGCCTTGACCAGCAGAAAAAGGTGCGAGGTAAAAAAAAAAAAACAACAAGGCATTTATACACAGATGAGGTTAGTTTTTTTTGGGGTATAGAGTCGAGCTGACGGATTCGTGTGTTTTTTTCGGCTTGGGGCATACAAACTTCGGATCATAATTGGGGGGGTGTAGTTTTACTTGGAATGATTCGGCGCGGCTGTCTAATGGTGCCCCGCGCTTGTGCGGTCGGCAGCTGCTGCTCTCCGCCGGGACAATTTCAAGGCTTTCTTAGCTTTGTTTTCCCGAGGTTTTGAAACTGGTTCACAATGAGTGAGACATGAGTGTACGGTCAGATGGGGTCCTGTACTGATTCTGTTCCCACCAAGAAGGTTCGTCAATCTAGGAAGTTATGATAATGGGCGTTTGACTTGCAAGCCCTGGTTGTTTGCAATTGGTTGGTATGCGCCCAGACGAGGAGCGTGTTGCTTACGGTTGGGTTTAAGAGCACGCTGATGTGGTTTGGCCAGGTCCACATCAAGCCAACTTCCAATAGTGCCTGGAACAAACATGGCGTTGGCTCAAGTTCGTACGGCCATACGACGCTCAGGATTGGGTGCTCGTAGTTGAGTCTGCTCCTGTGGTGTTCGTGCCAGCGTGGCCATGTCTCCAATGCTTGCCCTGCTGTTCGCTGCTAGAACCCTTGCGGTGCTGGGTGGCAGCTGCGGAATGGAAAGGCTGACTATGGAAGGCGCGTATGGCTGCAATTGGAATCAGGAGGGTGACGACAACATGTATTGCAACCTTGCTTGCACAAGCGACCTGCATGCCACACAAACAGATGAGAAGAAGGCAGAATTACGGCCACCGCACATGGAAAAATGCGGTCGTGAATACCGCACGTCGATAGAAGTGACCTGCGCGAAACCCATGAACGAGTTCCCCAATGCTTGCAGTTCAACCGGACCTCTGCAATTTGTTCGCAAAGGACGTGACTGAGACTGGGTCAAGCTTCAGCATCCAAGCTTGTTTTTGTTGTGTTCCTGCGCCCTTCGTTTGGCTAAACTTTTTAACGCAAGTACATCTCTGTTTGTGCCTTGGGCAACGCGGACTCAGATATCTACATGACCCTCTTCACCTACAGGACGGAGGCTCTGCCAACCGGATCCGAGGTGGTACTCGAAGTGCAGTGGCAGTGGGATTCCGGCCAAGGCTGCTCGCAGAAGTACAACGTCACTTATGACAAGTGCTTCGGCCTCGACCCTTGGGGACGGCATGAACCCTAAAAGGGTTTTTAGGGTTCATATACTTTTGGGGTTTAGGGTTTAGGGTTCAGGTATTTTATAGCCAATATTGTATTGGCAATACTAGTAGAGAGGGCATATGACCCCAATTTTCGGGTTCATTTGGTCCGCAAGGATACCACCTCCGTGGGCAACAAAGTTGACGAGCCCGCTGTGGCCCCGCCGAGGCCCAGGGGCAGACCCATAAAGAGGGTTTAGGGTTTATAGGGTCTAGGGTTTAGGGTTGAGGGTTTAGGGTTTAGGGTTTAGGGTTTAGGGTTTAGGGCCACAGGCGACTTCACTTGGAAGACGCAATCAAAGGGCCCGAGCCATTTTCGGAAGCCTAAACCTCAAACCCAAAAAAACCCCAGTCGGGGGGGGGGGGGGGGGGGGGGGGGGTCCTTGCTTGAGTTGAGGTGGCTCTCTCGACAGTGTACCTCTCTCTACTACAAGAAGAAAAGACCCCCCACAGTCTTTCATGGCAACCCTCGTAATCCGCACAAGAAACCAGTAAAATAAAAGCAGTAATAAAATAGATTTTCTGAAGAAGCCAGTCGCATAAGGCCGCCAAAGAACTCTTATCTCTTCCGGCACGTGGGCCCAACCACGACGCAGACGTCGATTACCAGAACCACGGAAACGAGAACCTCAGTCAGCTTGCTCAATTGAGTTGTGCTGAGTTTCAAGTGCAAGGTATGTCTAGGATCTGTGAGCATTCGAGGCGTGCCTTTTGTGGAAATAAGGTGACTAAGACGACCGTAACCATCACATCCATCACGGCAACCACGACAGCCACACAGACCACAACGATGACGACATTGACCGGAACGCTCACTACCAGCACCGTCTCAACCACGACGGCAACGACGACAGAGCCACCAAGTCCCCTGAGTAACTCTCTTCCTTGGCTCCTGGTTGCCGTTCTTCTTCTTGCGGTTGGGGTTGGCCTCTACACCGTCAGGAGGCGGAGCGAAGACGAGCAGCGGTTGCGGGATGCGAGAGAGATTGAGCTGCCGGGGCTGCCGGGGCGCTATTGATGGGCTCGGCTGGTGACATCTCAGGCTTATGTCGCCTGGTGTACCATACTCCTTGGGGACCGAATGAACCCCCAAAATTGTGGTCATATAGCCGATATTACTATAATTCCGATTAAGGTATATGCACCATAAACCCTTGTCGGGTTCACTGCGTCCCCAAGGCTTTGGCACGCGCAGATTCCTATAAAGTCCAAGGCATGACGTGTGCCACGACGGACCCGACGAAAGCTCAATTCGAAAGCTGCCAGCAGCGCTCGTGGGTTGTGCAGATGCATGCGGCCGTTTCCGTATACCAAGGGCTTCTTTCGAGCGCCAGCTTTCCACTGCCATGGGACCCCGAAAAAGGGTTTATGAATCACAGACCTTCATAGGAACTATACCAGTATAGGGTAACCCCAATTTTAGGCTGCATTTGGACCTCTTGGAAACTGGCATGTTTGCACAATCTGCCAAAGCGATAGCGCCGGCTGGACGTTTTGCTCGCTTTTCCTAGACTAAACCCTAAACCCTAAACCCTAAACCCTAAACCCTAAACCCTAAACCCTAAACCCTAGACGATGCCAACAAGAGGGTCAGGCAAAAGCTTGGCCCAAACCCTGACGCCACGCCTAATCTCCATGACTTGTTGAAGTAAGTTGTGCGCTGCCTCCTTGAGGGCCCCATAATTGCGCATTATATATATATATATATATATATATTAATAATCGTGATAATAATAATAATAATAAGAATAATAGTACAATAACTGCTCTGAGGGTATATGAGCCATCAACCCAGGGTTCATTTTGTCACCTGAAGCTTGTGCAGGATGCGGGGAGACACTGTCGGCACCCAAAGCTCCACCTGTGCGAACGGCGGCAAAAAAGATCCCTGGTCGATTGGGGCATAGGGTCGCCAGTGCGAAGTTCTGGTTACTGGCTGGCGATGATTCCCACAGTGTTTGCGTTCTTGTCTACGTTGGCTCACCTATTGCACCGGGAGCGAAGGTCTGGTGTTTGGACTAGCTGGTATCTCTAATGTTGCTGTGCATCGGCTCGGTTTCTTCATGTGCTTTGTGGCTGTGGAAGCCGCTGTTCATGACCACTCTATCCACGTCGGTTGTCTGCCTCAGCTGTGGGGGGCGGCTAGCTTGCTGACTGCGCTTGTTTGGCGCAAGCTGCAGGGCATGCTCTCAAGCTCCACGTTCTTTTGGAAGAGTGTAACAAGGTCCAAATCAAACTCGCAGAATCCCAGCAGCTTGTTTGGAGTTGCGGCTCGGACCCCGATGTGGCAAGCTACTGTGCAGCGTAACCCTGGGGCTCCAGACGGCCCCACAGTAGCTCTTATTGAAAGACGTTCAGACCCCAAGTTGGCAATATTTATAGATTTGGCTCAAAGGCTTGCAGACCGAGGGTGGTTCAATTTACATGCCTGTATAGGGCTCCAAAATGCTCCAAAGCCATGCTTGGGTTGCCTCATGCGTGCAATCCTCCTCCAACTGGCTTGAACTTCAATTGGCGCGTGTTCGCCCGGCACCCTGGCGCGTGGACGACGCTTTTTTGCGGGCACCCTTGCGCCTGCGGTGGGCCAGTCTGGCTGGGCTTCTGTTGGACTCTTGGCTGGCAGGAAGTAGGCTGGGGTCAATGTCGACTGTTGGTGCACAGGACACAGACTGAAAGCTGTTTCCTTGCGTGCGTGTTGAGACGGTGGGGACATATAATGCATAAAGGTAATTTTACAGGCACGGTTCGGAGGAAAGGCGAGTCATTGTAGGAGTTGCCATTTACCACAGTCTTTTGTTTCCAGCAGCTTGCATCCGAGGTCACAGGGCAAAGGAACCAGGTAGATGGTCTGCGAAGCTGTCGACGGGGACAGCGGGCTTCCTCGCATACTGTGCCCTGTGTTACATATCTTCTTGTGGATGGCGATATCCACTCGATTGAGGAGATTCGGGCTGCTATTAAGGATGCGCAGAGGTCGCAGCTGACGGTAAGCGGACAACCATTTTCGCAGAGCCAGGGCGCCAGATTAATCAGAATTGGTCTCAGCTTTTTGCGGGGCCTTCTATCGCGTTTCAAGCGGTGGAGCGTAATTCCTCTGACATTGGAGAAGCGAATGATCATGCCATCACGAATGAGTGCGAGAGACTCATGAAGCGGAGGCAGGGCGCAAGCATTGCTCTCCTCATTTCAGATTTCGGCTATGTGGACATCATCAGGAAGCTATTCGCGCAGGGATCGCTTGGGACAGTTTACACCTCAGCCAAAAACCATTCCCTTATAGAGCGTTATCGTGCTGCAGGCGTTGAAATCGTGGGTCTGGGACAGGGCAGCAGGGCCAGCACAAAAGTGAGAGCTATCCTCCACCAGGACGGTAGTGGGCATGTGGAGCTTGCGACGCCGTATGATCGCCATAATGTGTCGGATGAGATTTCGATGGACGCGCTTATCAACTTCTTGCGTGAGCTCGATTATGTCGGTCGCGACGAACAGGAGTTCTTGTTGCACTCCCTGGCAAAATTCTGGCACTTGAATGGGTTGGGATCTTTGACTGTGTTTCCCCAGCGCTGCGCCTTCAAAGACGTCTATGTGACCATGTCGACCTTGCGTGAAAGACCCTGGCAGAGGTATACTCACGACTTAGCCTTCCTGCTTCCACAATCGGTTAATAGGCCGAAGTTGGTCAAGGCAGCGAAACAGACGTTCGGAAGCGGCTTGGCCAAGTCAATTTACAAGGGTGGTGGTCCGTTCATACTCCGAGATTCCGAGAACATGGTTCGTCAAGCCTTGGAGAAGATGGGATATCTGGACGGAGACCTAAATGCCGACCTGGCTGAAGCAATGCTAGTTTTTGTGAACGGTCCCAAAAATCAGTACAAGCTGCGAAAGGACCTGAATGCCTTGCCAAGCCCTCAGGATACGCCCGTGGAAGTGCAGGCAAAGCTGCGGCGCGCCTTCTCGTCACACCGTTCGGACTGCGAATGGCGCATCGCGCCCAGGGATGATGCCGTGCGCATATTGCTCCGACAACAAGGTTTCTTGGCCAGGGCCGATGCCAAGGCCAAGGGGACCGGCGAAGTGTTCGAAGCAATGGCCAGCTATGCCAAGCGGCACGGTCTGCCTAAGATGAAGACATACAACGGGTATGTCTTCCGCATTCTGCGGGCCATGGACCGCACGCCGAACAAGACTGGCACTGTGGAGTTCCAGCTGTGAGGCATGTGCAAGAGGTGCCGACATCACGAGGCGTTTTCGCTCCAGGGTCTGACGCTGTTGCGCAAGCATAAGCATTGTTCAGCATGTGTTCCACTCGAATGCTGCCTGCATCAGAACCTCTACAGGTGAGGGGCTTATTCTGAAGGATTGTCCCTTGCGGATCTCGCTTAGAGTAAGTCTTTTCTGGTAGTTTAGGTTCCTCACATGGGCTCTTAGAACAACCCTAAACCGTAAACCTCACGCGCTGTACGCCAGAGCTATCCGATTCGAAACGTGCTAGGGGCCTGGGCAGAGTTCAGGTCCTACAGGGTTACGGGGCCTGAAGCAGGGTTGGTAGGGGTGTCTGGGCTTCAGGACAAATATATATATATATATATACATATATATATACACATATATATATATACATATATATATAGTTAAACCCTTTTTGGGCCAGGGTATTCAGCCCAGAGGCTGTTCTGGGATTCTAGGGACAACTCCAGACTCCTGACAATGGGGCGGCGAGGATGGGTTCATTTCGACTGTCTCACGGAGCCACAAACCAGACCTTTTCCGCGGTTGCAGTGCCGATTGAGCGGGCGGTTGCTTCTGAAATCTTCGAATAGTGAGAGTTTTTTTGCGGAACCATGGCAGGGCGTGTCCTTTCGTCACGAAAGCACCTGTCCAAGCTTCACAAAGCATGCACAGGGGAAAAGTCACGCCAAAATCTACCTAGCTAATCCAAGAGAGTGATCATGCAGCCCAAGGGCTCAAACACCAGAGAATCCACAGCCCACGCGGCATGACAGTAGTGCAGTCTTAAGTCTGAGGAGGTCGAAGCAAGTAGAAGGAGCATGCGCCAAGACACTAATCCTACTGCCTGCGCATTCGCGCCATCTTTGAGGCATTTGAAGCCAAAGCGATGCTGTAGACTTTGTGAGCTGCAAGCTGTGTCGCCATGTCCGCGCCTAAAAAGGACCGGCACCTTTACGACACAATTCCAAGCGCATGGGTGTCTCGAGTTGCTTGACGGTGACCAGAGGATGGGACAGCCATGCCACGCAGTACGCGTTTAGCCCTGGTTGCTGCGCCGCCGCCTTAGAATGCAGTTGCCAGTTCGCAGTGTTCGGTCTCACCCGTGTTACCTAAACCCTATATAAACCCTAAAGCGCCCCTTGGTAACCTAAGAACCCTGAAGAGATTCTGACTTCTCTTTTTTGCCCAAGCTTTTGTACTTGCTGACTTGGATTAGTCAGCATGCGGAGGTCAGCAGCTGCTGCAGAGGCATTGACGTTCCCGATCGACTTTGCGAAGACGCGCATGCAACTCAAAGTGGGCAGGCACACTTCAGCTATTTTGATTTTCAAATTTGACGGTAGTATATTGCATTTTACGACATTGTGATTATGGCATATATTGCGTTATACCTTTTTGGATGTGGGATTATAGATGAGAATATATGTATTTGTTACTATACCTGGTTGATTTTGCTGCATATCACATGACGTGCTCGCAGGGTGTGATTGGGTGGAATTATGTGCTAGTGCTGGCGCACGATTAGTTTTGCACTTGTGCTCGGTCGTGGCGCAAGGCAGACTTTCGTCGACTCATTGGCAAGCCTGGCCTGTTTCAGAGTCTGCTTCCGTTCCATTTCAGCTTCGTGATCGAGACGTAACCCTAAACCCTAAACCCTAAACCCTAAACCCTAAACCCTAAGCCCTAAGCCCTAAGCCCCAAGCCCTAAGCCCTAAACCTCCTATGCAGGTTAGTGCACTTCGGCACGAAGGACTTGGCCGCCCGGCGCATCAAGACACCTGGTGGAGGTTGCAAGGTGGCAAGACTTGCCAAAGCAAGTTAGCAACGTAGACAGGGGCAGCCTTCCGAAGAATCAGCAGCCTGGAGGTCACTTGCTACAGCTGATTGAACCGGTCTCCTGGGTTTAGGGTTTAGGGTTTAGGTTTTAGGGTTTGGGGTTTGGGGTTTAGGGTTTAGGGTTTAGGGATATTCTCCCTCAAACCCTCGTAGTGACAAGTTGACTGACAGTGTGTTTGTGCAGACATTGTGGCCTGATTAACTGGTTGAGCATGGCTCAACCAAGGTGCCGTGTATGCGGGTTTGCCGTCGGTGCCCTACAGTGTGCTTTTCCTGCTGCTTTTAGGGTTTATAGGGTTTTGGATTAGTGCACGGCGTTATCTCTAATCACATCACCTAATGTTGCACTGTCTTTAGTATGGGGCCCCCCCCCCCCCCCCCCCCCCCCCAAACAAATTTGGACCCTCTATAAACGCGTGGCCCGGCGACCCCCCCAAACAAATTGGGGGGGGGGGGGACCGCCCTCAGGGCCTCAAGCCTTTAGGACCTCAAGGCCTGAAGCTTTCCAGCCTTTAAGATTCCTGGAGCCCAAGGCCCTCGGGGCCTCAAGCCTTACTGCGTAAGCCCTTAACCCAAAACACAAACCCTCAAAAAAAAATCATCCGAAAAAAACTTGGTATTATAGAGGGTAGCCAGACAAACTTACTAAAAACAGTCTGACCGGCCCGTGGGCTACCTATCACAAAATTTGTTTGGGGCCTCGTTTCGTAATGAATTTCCATTAGGCTTTACATGGGATTGGCCGGGCTTAGATTTCTGGATTCTCCGCGCTCTGGCTCTTTAAGGTTCCTGGAGCCCAAGCCCTCAGGGCTTCAAGCCTTACTGCGAAAGCTCTTAACCCAAAACACAAACCCTTAAAACAAAAAAAAACGTCCGGAAAAAACTTGTGATAATAGCGGGTACCCTGAACAAACTCGGTTCGCAGAATAAATTTTCGAAACTTGTGATTATAGACCCTCCTTATACTAAAGTCAGTCCAACATTAAAGCCTTCAAACTCTGCCACCACGTACAGCCTTGGAGCAATGTGGCGCATCCTCGGCCCACCAGGCCGGCAGTTCTCCGACACATTGTGTATTCTTCCCTGCGCATCTCCTTCTACGAGGATGCGCGGGCTTGGGGTTCCCTGGCCTTGCTTTGAGGTGTTGTGAGTGAAGGTACGTAACAACCTAAGGGAGTACAGAAAAAGGGCCCTAAACCCTAAACCCTAAACCCTATAAACCCTAAACCCTATAAACCCTAAACCCTAAACGGCAACAAAGCATCATGTCGTAGCTGCAGCAGCAGGATATGCGCGCAGCATTTTCGCGGCATCTGCCGGAAGAGAGGGGCCCATGCCCCAGTGTGAGTTGGGGACCGTTTAGGGTTTAGGGTTTAGGGTTTAGGGTTTAGGGTTTGGGGTTTAGGGTTTAGGGTTTAGGGTTAGGGAACCGTAAAGTTGGGGTCATCTACCCCCTGTACCACTACATGCAGGTATACCTGAAATGTAGTTCCTGTTTGGTGAGTTATCGGGGGGTCATGGTATACTACACCAAAACGTACTACAGTAGGAGCCTTTAGCTCAGAACCAGGAATCCTAAAATTGGGGGGAGGCACACACTATGTACTACTATTGTTCCGATAAGGTATATGAACCATAAAATCTCTGAACCCTAAACCCTAAACCCTAAACCCTAAACCCTAAACCCTAAACCCTTTTGGGTTCATTCGGTCCCCAAGGATGTGAGGTGGAACCGAAACACCTAGAGCTCTGAGAGTCGGCACTCGCATGAGCCCTATGGGGGTTTAAGGTTTAGGGTTTAGGGTTCAGGGTTCAGGGTTTAGGGTTTAGGGTTTAGGGTTTAGGGTTTAGGGTTTAGGGTTTAGGGCTTAGGGTTTCGGGTTAGGCTTTGGGTAGCCCAGTGGTGCCCTTTGGCCCCCTCTGTGGGGGTTGTAGGTTCGCTCATCTAAAGCAACCAACCCAAAGAAGGGCATCCTTATTGTGACATGGCTGCTAGGCTATCAAGCTTTTAGGAGCAGAAGCCTCTTGCGTCTCAATGAGAGTTGTATACAATGCATTAAGTAATTAGTATTAGAGCTTTCAAGAACAGTCCTTCTTCCAACGCATTTCACCCAAGTAAACCCTATATGAACCTAAACCCTAAACCCTATACCCTATACCCTATAAACCCTAAACCCTATGAACCTCAGAGGCTCCACCGCCAAAGCTGCTGCCGGATTGGCGGCGGGCGGTCTAGCGCAAGCGCGGGCACTCAGCCAGAACCCCTCCGACCTAAGTAGTTATGTATTATTAGGGTTTTTAGGGTTTAGGGTTTAGGATTATAAACTCCGAGTCCCAACTAGATAGAATATCACCGTTCTGGTGTACCCGAGCAGATTTTAAGTGCTGAATATCACCGGGAGGGGTTTCGTTGATGATGGTGGGTCACGTGATACATGGCACCATGATCAGGTTGCCCACGGGCAGAAAAACCCCAAAATCTTCAGACTGTAACAGCACTCTGAACATCTCCGAGGCCTAAATGTGCTCATAGGATTGCTCATAGAGTGTCCCAGAATTTACACATAGTTTCCCTCTTGTTTACCCATACGTTTTCCCAAAAAATCCCATAAGTACTGATGGCTACCCTAAACCCTAAACCCTAAACCCTAAACCCTAAACCCTAAACCCTAAACCCTAAACCCTAAACCCTACTTCACCTTAGTGAACTTCACGCCTGCCAGCCCCCTGGAGCGCAAGGTTTTCGCGTCTCCGGCCGACCGGCTTAAGGCAGACCTACGGTACTTTTGGAGGTACAGGGTACCTAGAACCCCAATTATGGCCGTACTTATAAGCCCCTGAGTTCTCTAAGTAGGCTAAAAGCAGACTTGCAACTGGGCCGGGGTCAAAAGGTACCCGTGACGTACCCTCTGTCATTGCAGGCAAGCGTTTGGTGCCGGATGCTGCCGTTGGGTTTTGAGTCGCGTTCGGCATTTGTTACAGAAAGGGCTTAGGGTTTTAGTATCAAGATGCAAAACGAGGGTTGCTTAACATGCACCGGATTCCAGTCACAGGTAGCACACAAGGAGGGAGCTTGGTTGTGAGGTAGGCTGCTGTTACATGGGCCTTGTGTGCAGGTCGTACTGGTGCAAGAGGGACGCCAGCGT